AGAGGTTTTAATAATATAAAGTTCCTTAGTTTTGGTACAAATTTTACTTTATCTGACCACTCATCTTGATATTTGTGTACGAGTGCACGTTTTACTTTTTCAATGTTAATATGTTGAAGATTGTAAAAGCAATATTCCATATTTACATATTCTAGCACTCGCTGCATGTCGCAGCACCATGATTTTTCCTTATTTGAACGTTTATCCTACATAAACACTTTTTTGCATACCCGGGAATCGTCCATTCGTATGAGTCTGTTCCATAGACGTATAATGTTAAGCCATCTCCCGTGTTGTCTGATAAGCCATCCAGTTTCTCCATTTACGGTCAAATTTGGTGTAAACCTATGGACGCCAATAAAGTATCTAATCGAGCGGTTTTGGATGGTGTCGATACGAAGGATGCGGTCGATATCCCCAAACTCCAGAACAATAATCCAATACTGGTTCAACACAGGAAGAATATAACTTTTTAAATGTTTTAAAACCAATGGATTTATTATGATGCACCTTAGATATAACACCACCTAATGCTCGTCGGCCCGGTTTCGCTAACAGTTCAGCTGTATGTGAAAAACTATTAAATTTGTTGAAAAGCACACCCAAATATTTGTACGAACTTGAATATTCCAATGCATGTTCTCCAATTTTAAAATTAAAACTACTTCGCGCCCTACGGTTGTTTCTAAAATGTACCACTTTGGATTTCCCTAGATTCACTCGAGGCCTCCATTTTAAACACCAGTTATCCAAATGATCCAGCACACATTGCATATCAGTTTCATTTTCAGAAAGGAGTGCTATATCGTCTGCATACAGTAAAATGTTTACCTTATCATTTCCAATAAACATTCCCTTACCAAGCTGGTTGATTTTGACGGCCAAGTCATTAATAAATAAACCAAACATTGTGGGAGATAAATTATCGCCTTGTTTTACCCCGATATCACTGGAGAACCAATCAGTTAATGAGTTTCCGAGTCGTACACACGCCTCTGAATCCGTATATAATGTTTTAATAACGTTGTACATTTTTCCATTTATTCCATTTGTGATAAGTTTATACATTAGTAGATCTCTGTCAACATAGTCAAATGCCTTTTGTAGGTCCACAAATGTTACAAATGTTGTAGGTTTATTAGAGACGATTGAATTGAGAGTATGCACGTGGTCGGGACTCGATCTATTTTTACGGAATCCGTTTTGGTCGTCAACGAGCAAGTCATTTTCATCAAAGTATGGCACAGTCCTGTTATTGATGAACGCAGTGTATAACTTAGAAGCGACAGAGAGTGGGCTTATCCCTCGGAAGTTAAGTGGTACTCGCGGATCTAACGATTTATCTTTAGGAATTGGACATATAATTGCTTTTCTCCAAATTGATGGGATATTTGTAACCAGAGTCTAAACACAGTTGGAACAAATTGTGTAAAACAGTAGTTATGGCGGGAAACTTCAAAACCTCCAATGGAACCCGATCATACCCCGGCGATTCCCGTTTTCGCATGGTTTAACTCCTTTTTGATTTCGTTGATTTGTATTACCTGGTTTAATGTGGTGTTGGAGTCGTATAAAGGGTCCAACATGTACTCTTCTAAAAACTGTTTTTGTCGTATCACATCTTCATAAAATACATCACTGACTTCGTCTGAATTCAGATTTTTATCAAATAATCCTGAAAAATTGTCTTTCCACTGAGACATTACTTCCTCTCTATTTGTAACTATATTACCGTCATCGTCGTATAATCCATCGGTATTGCAGTTTTGCGTGGAGGACCAAGTTTTTTAAGGCTGTTCCAGAACTGTTTCGGATTATTAACACATTAACAATAAAGCGCATTTTTGTGCTCCGCTTCCCCTACATTTCCGAAAAATATTTTCCTTTTCATGCATGGCTTTCCAACTTATGATCAAATGTTCATTCCAAAACGCTTTAAGCGGCTTCTTCTCTGGAAGTAAGGGATGGATATCAACCATATTTGAATGGAAGCATCCCTAGGTAGTGGAGATTAAAAATTGTACAAATGGTTTGGCTGACCCCCGAGAGGGCTGTGGGGCGGGCCAAAAGGGAGCAGTTTGGCTATATTGCTACAAACGACTTCTTCTGTACAACTTTGCACTGGATATCAATCATATTTGATCAAAAGCATTCATGGGAGGCAGGGATTCAAAATTGTACAAATGGTGTGGCTGAACCCCAAGGGGGCTGAGGGGCGAGGGCAAAAAGGGTTATTTGGCTATATTGCTTTAAGCAACTTCTTCTCTGGAACTAAGTGATGGATATATGACTTCTTCTGTATAGAACAATGCCATGGATATCAATCATATTTGGTCGAAAGCATTCATGGGAGGCATGGATTCGAAATTGTACAAATAGTGGGACTGATCCCCCCGGGCTAAGGGGTGGGGCCAAAAAAAGTTTATAACTTTTTATAAAGTTTATCCCCACCATATAACCATATATACAATTGCTGAGTATAAAGAGAGAAGAATGCACATTTGCTTCCAGGATGGCCCTAGGGTTTGGCCCCAACCTTGGAGACTTAACCCTTGGGTCATAACTTCGAAAAGGTTAAGATCCCCACCCCAAAACTATATATACAATTGTTGGGCATAAAGAGACAAATGCAGTCATGATATTTGAATTGACCCCAGGGTCTGCCCCACCCTTGGGTCATGATTATAATTGATCCTGGGGTCTGGCCACAACCGTAGAGATCGACCTAGTTTCTGAGTCACAGCTTGGAAACAGTTGAGATCCCCACCCCATTTGATACATTAAATTGCTGGGCATGAAAAATCTAATTCAGATATGTTACAAGGATTAGCCTTGGGGTCTGGCATATTCCCTTGGATCTCATTTGGAGAATATTTTGCCATGATTGCTTAGATATCCAGGCGAGCGATAAAGGCTCTCTGGGCCTCTTGTTATTACAAGATGTGCCCAGTTTAGTTTGTGTTTGCATTAGTTTGCCATGTGTCATTCTTTTCCACCTGCATCAGACACTGGGCAAACATTAAATCTGTTTCCTTCTTTCTTGGCCCTGTCACATTTCACATGAACAAATTTACGTTTCCTATCAATTTTTCATTACATAAGCTGACCAGTAGATATCTTTGTTATGTAATAGCAGTACTCGGAATGCTATTTGACATTAGATCTCTCACCAAAACTGATCATCAAAAGATTTATCATCAAGTCAATACAGTGTTATGAAAATGAAATATAAAAAAGTGTAAAATTATATACTTTTGGTATATTATTACTCAATTTGGTCATCTGAAGCCCTTTTTATCCTTCTTCCTGCAAAAAGTAAAAGATATAAAAAAAAATCTGTATGCATGTACTGGGCAATTTTTGTGTCTTATTTTCGCATTTTTTCACAGAAAGATTCCATGGTTAATTAAACAATGCAGTGAAAGTTTCTATCTCCAGGCATCATAGTTGATGTTACCACCAAGGATCAACACTATTTGGTTTGAAGCATTAATTCTCATGTGGTGGTGATTCAAAATTGTACAAATGGAGGGCCAAAAAAGGGGTAATTTGGCCATTTTGCTTTTAGCAACTTCATCATTGGAACTAATAGAATGATATCAATCATATTTAGTAGGAAGCATTCTCAGGTGGTAGGGATTCAAAAGTGTACAAATGGAGGGGCTGACCCCCCAGGGGTCTGAAGGATGGGGCAAAAAAGGATAATTTGGCCATATTGCTTTAAAAGACTTCTTCTCTGGAACATAGTGACTATTGATATCAACCATATTTGGTTTGGAGCATTCTTCCTTTGTTGAGGATTCAGAATTGTTCCAGTTGATAGGGGCGAAGCAATGAGATTCCCACACTATTGGTACTGTCTTTGCAATTACTGACCATGGCCATCAGGAGACAATCTCAATCATGATATAATAATTGAGCCTGCAGTCTTGCCCTACTACTTTTGATTTAATTTCTAGCCATAACTTTGAAACAGGTGAGATCCCCACCCCACATTCGTATGTACCTTTGGTAGGAATACTGTATAGCAATTATATTTCGCGGGAATTTTAATTTCACTACATTGTGCTTTGACTTAATTATATATATAATATCTGCGAATTCGAAACATCAGGGAAATTATCAAAAATGTTAACCACTTTTACGGACCTTATCATAACATGTTGAAAATAGTTATAACCCAACGCTGTTATGCAAGCTTAAATGAACTCAAATCAGATTATCTCCCGACAACTCAGGGCAGTCCATGTTAAAACAACACTTACATATAAGTGTCCACAACATATTAATGTGTACACAGTAGGTGAATTCAGTTTACCCCTACAAAGGCACTGGCGGATGACGATGCTCTGGATCCGTGTTTTCAAACGGTTTACCTGTATTACGAGGTTTAACCCTTAAATCATGACACTCATAATACTTTGCACAACACATGGGATTCGGATGGACAGCCAAATTGACTAATGGATCTACCCAGACTTCTAGGGACATAATTTCTGGTACTTTACTTTTAAATTTATGGTTCAGATCCCCAACCTATAGCGCCATATATATACATTGTATACATGTACCATTGCTGGGCATAAAGTTTCGGGTGAGCAATATGGCCCTCTGGGCCTCTTGTTTAATATAAAAATATGGGGTGGGGTAATCTAAATTGATTTTCTAAAAATATGATATAAACAAAGGAAAATGTGCTATCATAATTAAAAAGACAATCATGTTTTTTATTAATTTTGCTAATATTTATAGATTTCTGATTCTGCATATGAAATAAGTAATAAATTTTACCAAAGGACATGTATTTTGTTAAATTTTCATCTTGGACTGATGAAAGCAAATAAATAGCTCATGGATGGTCATACCATTTTCTATTTTATGTCCTCTTCTTTAAAATAAGGTATGAGTATAAAAATAGTAAGTTAAAAAAATTGACTTTGAAAAATTTTGCTACATCTGCAATATTTCTCTACTTGTCAACTTAAATCTTCTTATTTCAGCCCATATTTGTCAGAAAAGATACAAAGGTGGCGTTTCAGTGGAGAATTCGTAACATTCCCTACCCTCTACATGTGTTTAGTGTGACTGTGCAGGATGACAACCACAAGCTCATCATCAAGACATCCAACAAAAAGTATTAAACCTAATTCATTGATGTCAACTCTCTTAACATACAGTTGATTTTTTCCTATGTTCACTATTAGTAGTACCACTTAACTTCTAGCAAACCTACGACATTTGGTGCAATGCTATAACGGTTCTTTGTTTATCTTAATAATACTATTACGTGTATTAACAAATCCTCATTACTACTGTTTCGGTAACGACCCTGGGAGCTTAAAACAAGGCAACAATGGACACTGAATATAAAGTAAGGTAGCAAAAGACACTGAACATAAAGGAAGGCAACATTGGACATTGAACATAAAGTAAGGTAACACTGAACATAAAGTCAGGTAACACTGGACACTGAACATAATGTAAGGTAACACTGAACATAAAGTAAGGCAACATTGGACATTGGTCATAAAGTAAGGTAACACTGAACATAAAGTCAGGTAACACAGGACACTGAACATAAAGGAAGATAACACCAAACATAAAGTAAGGTAACACTGAACATAAAGTAAGGTAACATGGGACAATAAATATAAAGTAAGGTGACACTGGACATTGAACATAAAGTCAGGTAATACTGGACACTGAACATAAAGTAAGGTAACACTGGACAGTGAACATAAAGTAAGGCAACACTAGACACTGCACATAAAGTCAGGTAACACTGAACATAAAGTAAGGTAACACTGAACATAAAGTAAGGTAACACGGGACAATGAATATAAAGTAAGGTGACACTGGACACTGAACATAAAGTAAGGTAACACTGGACACTGAACATAAAGTCAGGTAACACTGAATATAAAGAAAGGCAACACTAGACACTGAACATAAAGTAAGGTAACATTGGATATTGAACATAAAGTCAGGTAATACTGAACATAAAGTAAGGTAACACTGGACATTTAGTTAGTTTACACGGGACAATGAATATAAAGTAAGGTTACACTGGACACTGCACATAAAGTCAGGTAACACTGAATATAAAGTAAGGCAACACTAGACACTGAACATAAAGTCAGGTAACACTGAACATAAAGTTAGGTTACACTGGACACTGCACATAAAGTCAGGTAACACTGAACATAAAGTAAGGCAACATTTGACACTAAACATAAAGTAAGGTAACACTGGACACTGAATATAAAGTAAGGTAACACTGGACACTGAATATAAAGTAAATTTAGGTATCACTGGACACTGGACATAAAGTAAGGTAACACTGAACATAAAGTCAGGTATCACTGGACACTGAACATAAAGTCAGGTAACACTGGACATTGAACATAAAGTAAGGTAACACTGGACACTGAATATAAAGTAAGGTAACACAAGACATTGAACATAAAGTAAGGTAACACAAGACACTGAACATAACATAAGGTAACACTGGATACTGAACATAATGTAAAATAACACTAGACACTGAATTTAAAAGTAAATTAAGGTAACACTGGACACTGAACATAAAGTAAGGTAACACTGGATACTGAATATAAAGTAAGGTAACACTGGATACTGAACATAACGTAAAATAAAACTAGACACAGAATTTAAAAGTAAATTAAGGTAATACTGGACACTGAACATAAAGTAAGGTAACACTGGACACTGAACATAACGTAATGTCATACTGAACCATGAATATAAAATAAGGTATCACTGGACACTGAATATAAAGTAAGGTAACACTGGACACTGAACATAAAGTAATGTAACACTGGACGCTAAACATAAAGTAAGCTAACACTAGACACTGAACATAATGTCAGGTAATACTGGACACTGAATATAAAGTAAGGTAACACTGGACACTGAATATAAAGTAATGTAATACTTGACACTGAACATAATGTAAGGTAATACTGGGCACTGAATATAAAGTAAGGTAATACTGGTCACTGAACATAAAGAAAGGTAACACTGGACACTGAATATAAAGTAATGTAATACTGGGCACTGAATATAAAGTAAGGTAATACTTGGCACTGAATATAAAGTAATGTAATACTTGACACTGAACATAATGTAAGGTAATACTGGGCACTGAATATAAAGTAAGGTAACACTGGTCACTGAACATAAAGAAAGGTAACACTGGACACTGAATATAAAGTAATGTAATACTTGACACTGAACATAATGTAAGGTAACACTGGGCACTGAACATAAAGAAAGGTAACACTGGTCAATGAACATAATGTAAGGTAACACTGGACACTGAATATAAAGAAATGTAATACTGGACACTAAACATAATGTAAGGTAACACTGGGCACTGAATATAAAGTAAGGTAACACTGGTCACTGAATATAAAGTCAGGTAACACTGAACACTGAACATAAAGTCAGGTAACACTGGACACTGAATATAAAGTAAGGTAACACAAGACACTGAACATAAAGTAAGGTAACACTGGACACTGAATATAAAGTAAGGTAACACTAGACAATGAACATAAAGTAAGGTAACACTAGACACTGAACATAAAGTAAGGTGACACTGAATATAAAGAACTGTAACACTGGACAGTGAATATAAAGTAAGGTAACACTAGACACCAAACATAAAGTAAGGTAATGCTGGACACTGAATATAAAATAAGGTAATGCTGGACACTAAACATTAAAATACGGTAACACAAGACACTGAACATAAAGTCAGGTAATGCTGGACACTGAACAAAAGTAAGGTAACACTAGACACCAAACATAAAGTAAGGTAATGCTGGACACTGAATATAAAATAAGGTAATGCTGGACACTGAACATTAAAATACGGTAACACAAGAAACTGAACATAAAGTCAGGTAACACTGGACACTGAACATAAAGTAATGAAACCCTGGACACTGAACATAAAGTCAGGTAACACTGGACACTGAACATAAAGTAAGGTAACACTGGGCACTAAACATAAAGTAATGAAACCCTGGACACTGAACATGAAGTAAGGTAATACTGGACATTGAAAATAAAATATACACGAGATAAAGTTTAAAGGTTTCCATCATCGTGTTGAGGGTTTGAAGGTCAAGGCCAAGGCCACTTGCTATTTAAAGAAAGTCATCAAGCAATACAGTGTCATAACTCTAGCTACTTTATTTCTTAACAGATTTCATCAAAGTTTAGACAGATTTTAAATGTACATGCTGATTTCCACTTTATATACCAAGATTGAAAACTAACCTATAATATAACTCAGTTGAGTTCCTTTGGCCTCTTGTTTATAATAGAAAGGTAGAACCATTTTACTTGATAGACTGGATATTATATCAGAAGGCCTTAATAAGTTTAATTTTATCTCTTATTTTTTAGGTATTATAAAAAGTTTTCCATACCAGACATGGAGAGGGTTGGATGCCTACTGACACAGGACAGTATCAGCACTGCCCATGCCAACAACACTTTCATCATCACTGTAAGGAATTTACTAGGGACAATGTGTCCATTATCTCAGCAAAAGCCTGGCTCTGTGGATGTGTTATCTAACTTCACTCAGCATAAGTGTCTTACTGAGGATGTCTTATCCCAAGTGACTCAGCAAGTCACTCAATATAAGTGTCCTACTAAGTATGTTTATCTCAAGTTACTCAGTATAAGTGTCTTATCCTATGATGAATGACTTGCTAAGTGACTAATATAACCTCAGTAAGACCCTTATACTGAGGGACTTGGTAAATAAAGTAGGATAAGACACTTTATTTACCAAGTCCCTTAGTATAAGGGTCTTACTGAGGGTGTATTAGTCACTTAGCAAGTCACTCATCATAAGTGGCTCACTTAGGATTTGTTATCTCAAGTTACTTAGCAAATCTTTCATAATGATTGTCTTGATATGGATGGCTTATATTAAGTCACTCAGCATCAGTTTATAATTACTGTGGATACCTCATGTCAAGCAACTTGATAAAGTAACACTGAACAAGTGTCTTACTGTGTATGTCTTATCCCAAATCACTAAGCAAGTCACTCAGGATATGGAACTTACATGGATATCTTATCTCAAGTCAACCAGCTAAATATATCATCTGAGCAGTCATGTTTTACTGCAGGTGTCTTTATTACAGGTTCCTGTGTAAAATATCTCATTACAGGTTTCCTCACAGTTTCCTGAACAAAAATGACTCCATGCAATTGTGTTTATTACAGGTTTCTGTTTCACTGCAGGTGTCTTAATAAAAGTTTCCTGGTCATTAATGTCTCACAACAGGTGTCTAAATAACAGGTTCCTGGTCATTAATGTCTCACCACAGGTGTCTTAACAACAGTTTCCTGGTCATTAATGTCTCACAACAGGTGATGTAATCACAGGTTCTTGGTAATTTATGTCTCACAACAGGTGTCTTAACTACAGGGTCCTGGTCATTAATGTTTCACCACAGGTGTCTTAATAACAGGTTCCTGGTTATTAATGTCTCACCACAGGTAGCTTAATAACAGGTTCCTGGTAATGAATATCTCACCACAGGTGTCTTAATAACAGGTTCATGGTCATTAATGTCTCACCACAGGTGTCTTAATAACAGGTTCCTGGTCATTAATGTCTCACCACAGGTAGCTTAATAACAGGTTCCTGGTAATACATATCTCACCACAGGTGTCTTAACAACAGGTTCCTGGTCATTAATGTCTCACAACAGGTGATGTAATTAAAGGTTCCTGGTAATTTATGTCTCACAACAGGTGTCTTAACTACAGGTTCCTGGTCATTAATGTCTCACCACAGGTGTTTTAATTACAGGATCCTGGTCATTAATGTCTCACCACAGGTGCCTTAATAACAGGTTCATGGTAATAAATATCTCACCACAGGTGTCTTGAGAATAGGTTCCTGAACATAAAGTCAGGTAACACTGGACACTGAACATAATGTTCAGTGTTACCTTACTTTATGTTTGGTGTCTAGTGTTACCTTACTTTTGTTCAGTGTCCAGCATTACCCTGTAGTTAAGACACTTGTGATGAGACATCAATGACCAGAACCTTTAATTACGACACCTGTGGGGAGACATTAATGACCAGGCACCTGTAGTTAAGACAACTGTTGTGAGACATAAATTACCGAGAACCTGTAATTACATCACCTGTTGTGAGACATAAATTACCAAGAACCTGTAATTACATCACCTGTTGTGAGACATTCATTACCAGGAACCTGTTGTTAAGACACCTCAGGTAGCTTAATAACAGGTTCCTGGTCATTAATGTCTCACCTCAGGTAGCTTAATAACAGGTTCCTGGTAATAAATATCTCACCACAGGTGTCTTAACAACAGGTTCCTGGTCATTAATGTCTCACAACAGATGATGTAATTAAAGGTTCCTGGTAATTTATGTCTCACAACAGGTGTCTTAACTACAGGTTCCTGGTCATTAATGTCTCACCACAGGTGTCTTAATTACAGGATCCTGGTCATTAATGTCTCGCCACAGGTGTCGTAATTACAGGTTCCTGGTCATTAATGTCACACCACAGGTGTCGTAATTACAGGTTCCTGGTCATTAATGTCTCACCACAGGTGCCTTAATAACAGGTTCCTGGTCATTAATGTTTCACCATAGGTGTCTTAACTACAGGTTCATGGTCATTAATGTCTCACCACAGGTGTCGTAATTACAGGTTTCTGGTCATTAATGTCTCACCACAGGTGTTGTAATAACAGGTTGTTGGTCATTAAAGTCTCACAACAGGTGTCATAATAACAAGTTCCTGGTCATTAATGTCTCACAACAGGTGTCTTAACTACAGGTTCCTGGTCATTAATTCTCACCACAGGTGTCGTAATTAAAGGTTCTGGTCATTGATGTCTCATCACAAGTGTCTTAACTTCAGGTTTGTGGTCATAAATTCTCACCACAGGTGTCGTAATTACAGGTTCCTGGTCATTAATGTTTCACCATAGGGGTCTTAACTACAGGTTCGTGGTCATTAATGTCTCAACACAGGTGTTGTAATAACAGGTTGTTGGTCATTAAATTCTCACCACAGGTGTCGTAATTACAGGTTCCTGGTCATTAATGTCTCACCACAGGTGTTGTAATAACAGGTTGTTGGTCATTAAATTCTCACCACAGGTGTCGTAATAACAGGTTCCTGGTCATTAATGTCTCACCACAGGGGTCTTAACTACAGGTTCCTGGTCATAAATTCTCACCACAGGTGTCGTAATAACAGGTTCCTGTCATAAATTCTCACCACAGGTGTCGTAATAACAGGTTCCTGGTCATAAATTCTCAACACAGGTGTCGTAATAACAGGTTCCTGGTCATTAATGTGTCTCCACAGGTGTCTTAACTACTTAACTACAGGTTCATGGTCATTAATGTCTCACTACAGGTGTCGTAATTACAGGTTCCTGGTCATTAATGTTTCACCATAGGTGTCTTAACTACAGGTTCATGGTCATTAATGTCTCACCACAGGTGTCGTAATTACAGGTTCCTGTTCATTAATGTCTCGCCACGAGTGTCGTAATAACAGGTTGTTGGTCATTAAATTCTCACCACATGTGTCTTAATAACAGGTTCCTGGTAATAAATATCTCACCACAGGTGTCTTAACAACAGGTTCCTGGTCATAAATTCTCACCACAGGTGTCGTAATAACAGGTTCCTGGTCATAAATTCTCACCACAGGTGTTGTAATTACAGGTTCCTGGTCATTGATGTCTCACCACAGGTGTCTTAATTACAAGTAACCCAGTGCAGGCATCTTACCATATCTTCAAAACTTTTTACAGTATAAAAAACCAAAGGAAGTCTTGGAAATGGAAAAGAAAATAGCAGCAGAAATGAAACAATTAAAAGCCAGTAAAGATGGTGACGTTGACTGTACTCCCAGCTGATGGAGAATGGTGTGTACTCCTAGCTGATGAAGAATGGTGTGTACTCCTAGCTGATGAAGAATGGTGTGTACTCCTAGCTGATGAAGGGTGTTTTGTATAATTGGACATTAATTTTGATGTATGATCTAGGATAGCAGCTGTGAGATTACCTTAAGGTTGGATGAAAGAACAGCTACTGTTTATTGAATTATGTTGAAATAAATAAAGTTTGATTCCCGAAAGAAACTTACAAAATTGGAAGAGTTCAGCCAAAGGGAAACTAATAAATCTATTACATTTTAATCTTAAGTACCATAATTTAATGAAGTCATGCTTGACAACAAGCAAGAGTTACTTAGTGCATATGTACAGCTTTCTGTTGTTATTTGGTACAAATGACTGGCAATAATGTTACAGATTATGTAATTATGTAGAGAACTGATGTACTAATATGGCAGGTTTGAATGCAGTAAATAGACAAAATACCATTCTCGTTGGTCAGAATAAAATCAATACTGGACCTGACTTTACACATGAAGATGTAACACTTCAGATATTTCACTGGTAAAATTTATTACAATTATGATACAGTTGTGGGATCGCACAACGTTACACGATGTGCAGTACGCACGTTGTGTGCACACTGTGCACGATACAAATCTGGACGATTATTGCTTGCACATTTTTTTTTAAACGATCTAAATCAACACATGTAAAATTATAACACAGGTCAGATGACACGGTCCCATATACAGGTAAACATAGCCTCTTTGTACATGTACGTGGACCGTATTTTTCCCCATCCAGGGTTTTCACGTAACTCGTCGAGGTGTGAAAATCCAGATGAAAAACGAATGCAACTAACAAATACTTAACGTCCAGTAATGTTTTCATAACAGACATACAGTACAGGCTCTCTATGTCAGGCACAGGGCGCCAGGTAAAACTCCGGTCACTCATCAAAATGTTATTTACCTGTTCTGTTACCTGTGACCATAACCCATTATTGACAGTCTAACGGTCACTGTAATACTGTATAACTCGCATAATAAAATTGAACACAATCTAAATTAATATTATGAGAAATTTGTATATACAGTGTTCTTTATTCCATACTGGCCTTCCAGATTTTTTTCATTCTGTAATATTTATCAAACATTTGTAACAAATCGTATATATTTGCTGAGGTAATCGCAAATTGATTGCACAAAAATAACAACAAGATGTCCACCGACAGCCATCTCAAAATCTGACAGTACCATTTTGTTTTCACTATTTCTCAAGAAGTTCTTGACAGAATCGAAACAAGTTTAAAGTGTTTTACAGCAAAGAACATGCCTGCAAAATCCCAAAAAGCAAGATGGACCGAGCAAGAAAATAGAGGAAAAGAAAAAGGAGAAAGTCATTGAAGATAAAACGTTCGGTCTGAAGAACCAGAAGGGAACAAAGCAGCAGAAGCACACCAAAAACTGTCACAAATCAGGTCCAACAGGGCAATGGCAAAGCCTCAAAGGCTGCAGATCCAGTTCTTGACAGAAAAGGACGAAAAGGCAAACGAGGAAGAGCTCCTCAACACTTTGCTAAGACCTGGTCAGACTATATTGAAAAGTGCACGACACTATGGCCACCTGGGATGAGACAAAGGTGGAGGAAGCTGTCGCAAAAAAACACAGATGCAGAAAAAACCAAACCAAAAACTATTCCGTGGCTTTATATCCTACAAGGCTTTTTAAAACATATTTAAAAAGTTGGTGAAAACCGGTTGAGGGTAGAGGACGTGTGGATTCTCAACTTTCAACTTTCAAGACAGACCATGAAGACCAATGGGGAGGACTGGGGCTCGCTAACTGTGAGTATGCTTTGTATTACTTATACTCAAGAACATATGCCAAATGAGTGCTGGTAAACTTGGCAAGTTTTTGGCAAGCTCGGAAAAAGATGTTATTCCTGAATTGGTCCAAAACCGGAAACTGATTGTCGTGAGTGACAGTAAAGCGATACAGTTAAAGGCACACGAAAAGAAAACCATAAAATGGATAGCTAAACCAGGAAAAGGCACAACCTATCTTGTTGACTATGTGGTTTTGAATGCTGACCAGCTAATCAGTCAACACAGAAGAATTCTTGTAGCGCTGTGGCCCGGTACGTGTGACCTAACTAAAAAGGTAAACAAGAGCATCGAACTTAACGACATCTCCCCTGATGACATTATTCATGATTATCGTCGCCTTCTACCATAACAAAGCAAATATGGCCAGAGATTTATGATTGTTTTTCTAGAATGCCCTCACTACTCCATTTCTATTTGGAATTCAATAAAAGCAAACAAGTCTAGCGACCTGTACAATTTTCAAACCAAATAATTAGAGAGTCGAATCTTCATCCTCAATAGTGCAATAAATGAACTTAATATTGAGCTAGGTGTGGTAGCACCTTGCTTCATGTTGGACCTACTAAAATCCAGAAAGTCGAATAAGTCGCATACCAAAGTTTCCTATAGTCTTTTAAAAGATGGGTGTTCTCGCCGGAGAGCTGCTAAGCAGGAATTGGTTGAGGAGACTAGTCCTAAATTTACTTCAAAGATATTGTGTACGACAGGTATAACAGTAACAAAGAATGGCTGACGAACAAATGAGAGACGACACGAGCGATACAAGTGAAGTAGCTAGGACAGTAGGACACGTCAGAGAGATATGGACAAGTGCTATATCAGTTAGTAATATGTAAGGGATGTGTTTGAATTTTAACAGCTAAAAGAATCAGAAAAATCAGGCATGTCATATGCATGCAAGTCATGTAACAGGACAGAACCGCCGATAATAGAAGTAAGGGACACATTAAAGGAGTACTGTAAAGCTAACGATTTGCGAGTAGTTAACTTGGAGACACGATTGTCGGATCTTGAACTTAACACAAGAACAATAATTCAGGAGGAAATTTCAAGTTGCCAAGCACAAAATATCACTAAACTCGAGGAGAACATATACCAGCTCGTGGACGATAGGAATAGAGAATATGAAGAAAGAAGAAACAAGGAAAAGGCTTATTTATGTTATTAACATCAATGTTTTTAGCGCTGATCAGTTTTTGTTCGCTTTACTGTTAGGGACAAGGGAAGTAACTCGTACTGGCATGCATCCACAATAATATTGGGATGTAACACGTATACGCAGCCAGTTTGTTTACAGAAAAAAAATCCGACACAAGTTTCAGTGGCAGCTAGTAGTTTTGATATTATCACAAGCCACCTCTCAAACAAACGAGGACCCCATGGTAAATAAACCCGAGAATGAGGATGACTTTAGGACTATAGCGAAATCTCTAGGAGTCGACAATCTTGATATTGTGGCACAATTCCGACTAGGGGCACCACACCAAGACAAATCTCCAAGACCTTTTATAGCTGTCTTAGGAAATAAAAAAGAAAGAAAGATATTTCCACAAACTGCACGTTTCATTAAAAACAAAGCTGAAGAACCATATACAGTTATTCTCACAAGGGACCTAACTAAACAACAGCGGCAAGAGCGGAATACTCGAAAAAGAGATAGAGAAAATAACGGACCGACAATACGAAAATCACAAGCGTAGAAAAAAAACAATATATCCATCCAACAATGCTGCCAGCTCAAGGAGGGCTCTGATGTTTGGGGAGCGACCCGTCATATGACACCTCTTATCCAACTGAACGCCAGCTAGACTATTGCAGGGGGCTGGGAACATGTTTGTGGAGCGACCCGCCACTTTCCACCCACTCAATGGTAACACACATAGAATACATACATAGTATACATACATAGTATACATACATAGACAAACATGCTCAAACATACATAGTATACATACATAGAGAAACATGCTCAAAGATACATACTATACATACATAGACAAACACACTCAAACATGCATAGTATAAATACATAGACAAACACACTTAAACATACATAGTATACATACATAGACAAACATGCTCAGACATACATAGTATACATACATAGACAAACATGCTCAGACATACATAGTATACATACATAGACAAACAAATACAAACATACATAGTCTACATATATAGACAAACACACTCAAACATACATAGTGTACATACATAGACAAACACTTAAACATACATAGTATACATACATCGACAAACACACTCAAACACACATATTAAACATACATAGTATACATACATAGAGAAACATGCTCAAAGATACATAGTATACATACATCGACAAACACACTCAAACACACATATTAAACATACATAGTATACATACATAGACAAACAAATACAAACATACATAGTCTACATATATAGACAAACACACTCAAACATACATAGTATACATACAAAGTATACATACATAGACAAACACACACAAACATACATAGTATACACACATAGTATACATACATAGACAAACACACATAAACATACATAGTATACATACATCGACAAACACACTCAAACACACATATTAAACATACATAGTATACATACATAGAGAAACATGCTCAAAGATACATAGTATACATACATAGACAAACACACTCAAACATACATAGTATACATATACATAGAGAAACATGCTCAAAGATACATACTATACATACATAGACAAACACACTCAAACATACATAGTATACATGCATAGACAAACACTTAAACATACATAGTATACATACATCGACAAACACACTTAAACACACATAGTATACACACATAGTATACATACATAGTATTCATACATAGTATACATACATAGTATACATACATAGTATACATACATAGACAAACAAACACAAACATACATAGTCTACATATATAGACAAACACTCAAACATACATAGTATACATATATAGACAATTACACTCAAACACACATAGTATACATACATAGTATACATACATAGACAAACACACACAAACATACATAGTATACATACATAGACAAACACACTTAAACACACATAGTATACATACATAATATACATACATAGACAAACACACTCAAACATACATAGTATACATACATAGTATACATACATAGAGAAACACACTCAAACATACATAGTATACATATATAGTATACATACATAGACAAACACACTCAAATACACATAGTATACATACATAGTATACATACATAGACAAACACACCCAAACATACATAGTATACATACATAGAGAAACACACTCAAACACACATAGTATACATACATAGACAAACACTCTCAAATATACATAGTATACATACAAAGAATACATACATAGACAAACACACTTAAACACACATGGTATGCATACATAGACAAACACATTTAAACATACATAGTAAACATACATAGAATACATACATAGACAAACACACTCAAACATACATAGAATACATACATAGACAAAACACACTCAAACATACATAGAATACATACACAGACAAACACACTTAAACACACATAGTATACAAACATCGTATACATACATAGACAAACATAGTATACATACAACGACAGACACACTCAAACATACATAGACAAACACACTCAAACACACAAAGTATGCATACATAGACAAACACGGTCAAACATACATAGTATACATACATAGTATACATACATAGACAAACACACTCAAACATACATAGTAAACATACATAGACAAACACGCTCAAACATATATAGTATACATACATAGACAAACACGGTCAAACATACATAGTATACATACATAGACAAACACACTCAAACATACATAGTATACATACATAGACAAACACACTCAAACATACATAGTATACATACATAGACAAACACACTCAAACATACATAGTATACATACATAGACAAACACACTCAAACATACATAGTATACATACATAGACAAACACACTCAAACATACATAGTATACATACATAGACAAACACACTCAAACATACATAGTATACATACATAGACAAACACACTCAAACATACATAGTATACATACATAGACAAACACACTCAAACATACATAGTATACATACATAGACAAACACACTCAAACATACATAGTATACATACATAGACAAACACACTCAAACATACATA